GCAAAATTAGGTCCTAAAACATGCAAGGTGAATTTTTTTTTTTTTTTAAATTATGAAACATCTTATGAAATGTTTTTAAAAAAAACCCTTTTGTAAAAAATTCTTTTCAAAAAATCTTCAGAAAATGTTTTTGACAAAATCTTTTGAAAAAAATTTTTTTTTTGAAAAATTTTGAAAAAAAATTTTTTTTTTTGTAATGTTTTAAAAAAAATGTTTTTTGAAAAAATTTTTGAAAAATTTTTTTTAAATCTTTTGAAAAATCTTTTGAAAAAATCTTTTTTCAAAAAATCTTTTGAAATTTTTTTGTAGTTTTTGGAAAATAATTCTCAAAATGCTCCTATTTGATGAGAAACATGCAGAAAATATACAATTTTTGAATTTAATGGAATCTTTTCTGCATGTAACTAATCAAAATACACATTATTAGAAAAAGAATACATAATTTCTCTAATATATCCTATTTTGGTACATCAACCTTTGATCACAGTAACATGCCATACTAATTAGCAGAGTTGGAAAAAGTGCTAAAAAATGTAATTAAGAAAAGTAAAAGTACCCACCAAAAATCTACTTGAGTAAAAGAAGAAAATTACTTCTAATTAAGAACTAATGTTAAATAGTTTTACTAAAGTAGTTTTACTAACTATGTCATTGTTTAGCCCTGGAACCCAACAGTGCCACCAGCTGGTCTTCATACTGTGAGATGTTTCTCTTCATGATGTCCATACAGGGGCCCAGTAGACGCTCGAAGGCCTGGACGTCAATCACTACAGTAAAAACACAAACACACATGAGGGTTAAGACAGAATGTTCTTAGACAAACAGAACAAACTAATTCTTTATTTATGATAATAAAAAAAATAATTAAATAAATTACATACAAAAGATCACAATCTCTCACTGAGGTTCAACTATTTTTTTAACAGGTTTTGTTAAAATTAAAAACTCATTCAGTCCAAGAAACTGTAGCACAGCTGATAAATATATAATGATACATGTTTAAAAATAACTGTCTATGTCTGTAACATGATTTATTTATGAAAATCACCTAAACACTTGGTTGCCCCCACAGCGTACACTGACGCTGCTCGAGGTTTGTTGGTGACCAGTGCAAGTTCTCCAAAGTATTCTCCTCTCGTACAACGGGCGACCTCCACCTCCACGCTGTCCTGCTTCACCTGGAGAAACAGAAGGAAAAACAGAAGGAGAAGGAGAAACGTAGCACAATATAAATCAGTGTTTCCTATTCTTTTTTGAGCCACGCACACCAGTAAAAAAAGAAAAAAAAAATCAGAGGTTGAGGCACACCAGTAAAAAAAGAAAAGAAAAAATCAGAAAAGAGGTTGAAAATCACTGCTATAACAGAACAAAAACTCATGATGTGACATAAAAAATGTACTTTAAAAAAAAGAAGTTATTTTAATATGGAAACGTGCTTACTTTGTTTTTTATGGTGATCCTGACTTCTCCTGATTCCACCATGTAGAAACAGTCAGCCTTCTCGCCCTGCTCTCACACACCACAGGGGGAGACTGTGAGCACACTGAAGTCAGGTCTTTCACTCAAATGTGACGACAACAAGTCCGTTGTTCTTCCTTTCCACAAATAATTGAAAAAGAAAGAAAGAAAAGAAGTATAAAAACTCAGTACCTGTGAAATCACACGTTCTCCATCTTTGTAAACCCGTGCTCCAAGAACGTCAACAATTTTCATCCTCTCAGGAAGCTGAAAGAAATGTTGACACTTGAACCTTCGTGGTCTGACTTCAGGTGATTTGATGTGAATCCTATAAATTTAAAAACCTCGAGAGACGCGAGCAGCGGGACGCTCTCTATGAAGGCCTCGTACGTTCTTCTCTTCTTGGCGTTGTTTTTCACGATCAGTCTGTGAAACGTGGCTCGATCCTGAGCAGAAAACCAACCAGTGACGTTGATCTCGTCTTCGTTTACGGATCTATCTGGACTGGAACGAACACGTGTTGGACTCACCAGGCCCCACAGAGCGCCGTCCATCGCTGCCATGATGGTTGCAGCTCGGGGAGTGTTGTACATCAGAGCCAGTTCGCCAAAACTCCCTTTGTTGTCGTATTTACCGACACACACATCTGCTCCGTCCGTCTTCACAAAGATCTCATACACACCTCTGGAAGAAAAAGATTTGATTTAAGTTTGTCTGTTTTAATATAATAATTAAAAAAAGCTTTTCCCTCTCACTTCTCTATGACGTAGAAATTGTCCCCGTCGTCTCCTTGGTCGATGATGTGCTCCTGAGGTTTGACCAAAACCTCAAACATGGCCTCTAAAACCTCGGAGAACTGCTCCTGAACGAGGCACAAATACAAAAAAACAAAAACACAGATACTGTAGTGATATCAGCTCAACTTGGCCAAAAACAAATGTGTTTGTGTTTCAGTCGTTTTACGTCGTCCAGTGATTTAAACAGTAAAATATCTCTGCAGGAATCCTGGAGCCTCCGTCGTTGCTCATCAGTTTTTGGATGCACCACTCGAGGTTCTTCGTCCTCCTCCTCGTCCTCATCAGGATTGTAGGCCTCGGCACAAACTGCAGCAGCGGGAGGAGCCAGTGGAGAATATCTCCATCACACTGCAATTTACAACTTCAACATCCTGTTTTCAATAACTGACCTGAAACTCTGCGTCTGTGCGCGCCAGCGCTGCCCGCTGCAAGAAAACAACGACGAGAACATAATATTTATATTTATGTTTGTTATTTATTGGAAATAAATAAATAATAACATAACAAATAACATGTATAACAAGTCATGAAGGCTAAAATGCTTAAATGCTTTCAGCCTTTTCTACGCCATCTATTGGAAATATGCGGGTATTGCAGGGAAAGTATAACAATAATAGAAATTAGGAAGTTTGGCAGGCAAGAGTAAAAAACCAAACGGGCTATTTTAGACCAAATGACTCACCAACTGTGACGTCCTGCTCCTCTTCATCCTCTTCTTCTTTGGCATCAAACGTAACTCCTTTTTTGGCCGATTTTGTGCTGCCTTGCTCATTTCTCTGCTTTTCTAGAACTCGTGTAAAATGCTGCACGGCAAATTCGACCAAGTCTGTGGGTCGGCAGCGGAGGACTTCCACCGTGTATCCGTGTAGGAGCTCCTGCAGACCTGCCAGTGTTTCAGACGAACCCATCACTTCAGAAGGTTGTGGGGTTTGAACCAATGACCTCCGTGTCCGCCCTGTCACTGCTGCAGATCAACTCTGTCTGAACTCTGTTTGTCAAACCCACTCTGCAGATGATTGATTTCTGTATTCACAACAGCCGAGTGGAAACTATTGATCAGAGCGATGTAGTCATCACTCAACACAAGGACATTATTTTTGTCTTCAAATTGGTCGTACTTTGGAAACTATTGATCAGAGCGATGTAGTCAACGGCCGCTCAACACAACCTATTTATTGGACATTATTTTTTGTCTTCAAATTGGTCGTATTTTGTCATTTTTTTCCCCAATCAGTTTTAATCACACAGCGCGTGTTTATTGTCAACATTGTTTTATTACCAGCACCTCTTTAAATAAATCTTAAAGCTGAATACATTTACAGAAAAGATCAGAGTTCTAACCTTTAGTTATTAACGGTTTTACTACTAATCAAAGTTTAAAGGATCAATCGTTGTTGGATAAAAACCGTTTTCAGCTTCTCAAAATACATTTTAGAATTTTTCTCTCTTTGCAGCAAATTAAAAATATATTTAAATTTTAGACCCAAACAACACATTTCATTTAATTTCCTTTAAATTAAATAGTTTATTTCTGGTTTTAGTCAGACTTTTTCAACAACTTCACCATTTAAGGTATTTTACGACCACGTGGTGAATTTTTGTGAGGAAAAAAATCATCCAATGATCAATTAAACATCTATTCTGTGCAGCGCCCCCTAGAGACGGTTTACATTCTTAACTATAGATTCTAGAGAATGAAGTTTTTCTCACATGCCGTCGATCATGATCTGTTCATATGACGTAGTAATGACTGGACTGGAAGTCAGTATCTGAGGTCAGACCAAACAGGAAGTGAACACCCGTCTGAGGGGTCGGTATTGCTGAGAGACTGAACACAGGTTATAACAAAATGCACCTGATGTGTACACCTGCACAGAGATAAGGCACAACATGTTCAGTTCACTCTAAACTCCCATATTAAAAAGACAAATTAAAACTAAAATAAATCATAAAACTAACAGAGTGAACGCGCTCCACTGTGTTTGACTTTGTGGTGGTTCTGGTACCGAGTCACGATGACGACGACACGGAACGGAACCTTTCAGGTGATCTGGTGCTATGAGGTCAGGAGATAATCAAGTACATTATTGGGAAAAAAAAAAACATTAAAACCTCTTTGTATTTTCTGATTCAGAGATCGTGAGTACCGTGTACTGTATGTACTGCTAGTACTGCGGCTACACAGTTCTGTACAGTTCTGTTCCTTGGATTCACATTTGAGGTGACGGTAACTTTCATCACAGGTTCGGTGCCAACCAGTTGAGGAACTTCATTGCGACTTCAAATCCTAAGAAACATTATTGGGAAAGGAGGGAAAAAATATGTAAAAAATATAATGAATACATTCTTTAAACGTGCAAATAAAAACAAAAAAAAACCTTTTCTAAAGTCAGAAAAAAATTTTTAAAAATATTTTATCTCGGTTTTCGATAGCAACCTTTTCTAAAGTCAGAAAAAATTTTAAAAAAATCTTTTATCTCGGTTTCCGCAACAGGCAGGAAAAAAAGGCAAAAAAAAACCAAAAAAAAAATGTGCTAATCTCCTAAACCTCAGTCTCGACATTACGTCACTGGAAACCAATTATTAGAAACATGTTTGACGAGTTATTCATTGTCCTCAATTAAACATCCTTCACTGTCATGTGATCAGGTTGGATCTATAACAGCGCCAGGTGAAGACATCAGTAACTGTTGTGATAAACTTGAAGAACACTCACTGCGTTGGCAGGGAAAGCTCTGAGCATGACAGCCGTGAAGCCTTTGTACAGCGAGGCCACGCCCTCCTCTCTTATCAGCTCCCGCAGAACATCCCGGAAACCGTTGGGATATTTTCCCTCAGGAGCTAAAGGAAAAATAAAGGTCAACCGACGGCAAACGTGAAGCTCGTCGTTTCAGTCACTCTGGTAGAAAAAAAACCAACCTGTCTGAAAACGGGACTTGAGAACGTCAGGTGGAATGGCCACGGCCCAGTTGCAGATTCCAGCCATTCCTCCAGCAAACAGCACGCTGGGAACACTGAGTTCGTTATGGCTGCGGGCAAAAGAAAAAACGATCTCAGGTCTGAAGATCGAGCACTTTTCTCACAGCTCACCTTAAACATCATAAGTTAATATTAACCTTTTCCCTGCTGGTGTCAGAAGATTCTTCAGCCACTCATAGGACATGAAATACATCCCACTGGCCGGAACATCTGAGAAAAAAAAATGACAAAAAAAAAATTCTTTTTTAGATTTTGTAATATCTATAAGAATTGTTATTAGATTTTGCTCCGCTTAATAAAAAACCCGATAATAACAATTCCAGGGTTTCACCAAAGGATGTGTGCTCTAAAAATAGTTTTGGGGATAAAGGGATTGTACTCATACAGTGGTTTTTAAAGATAAATAAATAAATATAAAGGTAGTTAATATCAAACATCCCTGAGATCAAGTTATTCCTGATAAGCCGTGACGATAAGTCGTCTCATCAGGATGACTAGAGTAATGACACTGTACGACATCAAACTGAACCATGAACACAACACACCTCTCATGAGTGTCAGCGCGGTGCCTTTGTAGATTCCTCTGATCCCTGACTCTCTGTAGAGCTGCTTCACACAGTCCATCGGGCCGGCGTACTTGAGCTCCTTGGACACTGCTTGAATCTGGAACAAACACATACACACACACGTGTCCACGCTCTTTCATTTTTACCACGTTAAACGATCAGGAGCCACTGAGTCGATCACAAACACAGTGTGACCTCTGACCTGTAGCAGGCATTTGATCCGTTCTCCAGGAGCCATGATGGCTGTGGTGAAAACCCCAGAGAGCGTTCCGGCAGCAAAGAGCTGTGGAAACACATGGAACAGAAAAAAAGCTGTGAAAAGCTGTGGATACCTGTGGAAAAAAAAAAAAGAACGGAACGAAACAACCGTCAGCAGCAGAGCAGTCACCTACGTAAGGACATCGTCGGGACTTTTCTGCTGCAGTTTCTTGCCGAGTCCGAATCCAAAGAAACAGACGGCAAACATGGGTGTGACCCCAATGATGGGGGCTGCCATGCCTCTGTAAAGTCCTGTCATGCCCTGTGATTACAGAAACAAAACAAACGTGTGTGAAAGTGGGAAAAATGTTTGGAAATGTTTTATAAATTCAATGACAGCTGCGTCACCTCTTTGGCCAAAGTCTTTTTGAAACAGTCAATTGTTCCGGTGTAGATGAGGCTCTCCCCAGGTTTGGGTTTGGGCTGAGTTTGTAACCGCACCTGGAGGAGAAGAGAAATTTACATTATTTACAGCAGAAGAACGCAGCAAACATCTGGAGTGTTAGAGAATACGTTTACTTCTATCTTTCCTATAAGACTAAGACTCAGGACCTTCCCATGTGTTTGTCCGATAACCTAGACCTGGAAGACATTTTCCTGCTGGCCATTATTTAAAATTACAAGTGAAAAACATTACTTAAAATTTTTAATTATTTTTTAACAAAATAATTTATAGATTGTTTTGCACACGATGAACAAGTCTATATCAGCTCATAGGTCGGTGTCCAGGTGATGGCTTCCTGTTTGTGTCAAAGGGCATTCGTACAGTCTGTCAGCAGATTGTTAACAGTTAAAGTTAGATTTTTTATATATATTCAAATATTCTGCAGTATTTACTTTAATGGTATCGAGTGGATGTCCTGCGAAAACCAGGCAGATGCCTCCGAATCCTCCGGCGAAGAAGTTCTTCATCGGACTGATCGGCTGCGGCTGTTTGGACATTTTGACTTTCTGCTCTGCTGAAGGAAAACACACACAAAAACACATCTAAACTGCGCCGACAAACAAATGCAAAATGAACAAAACAACAACATATCAAAAACCTGCTCTGACCTGGTCGCTGAGTTCGTCTGTTCAACTGTCGGTGCTCCTTTCCTTCAGCGTTCTTTCCCCGCAGCTCTATGAACCTTCACCTAGTACTTACCGACCCGGACCGATTTTACTGCAACACAACCAGAAATGGGTCCATCCCGGTTATGTTGTCCGACTGGAAAAACTAAACTCCTATGAATATATGACTAATAAAGTGAGTTTGTGGTCGCGTTCACTTTGTTATTTCACTGTAATTATGTTTTTTTGTGAGAGTAACAAGAAAAATGTTTATGTTCCAAAGTGTTTTATGAAACTTTACGTTTTTTGCCTTTAATGATTTCCAAGGCGTCCAGTTGACAGATAATGCTGCCGATTTTATTTTTAACCGCTACGTTATAGACATGCGAATCTTAAAATAACGATACATCGTCTTATTTTACAATTTAAAATAAATACTCGTTTTAATCACACTACTTCCACTGTTAAAATATAACTTTATTACATTTAGTACAACACAGTCATAGCGATGTGGCAGACGTTGTTGATCACAGAAGTGAAACGTTCTCTCTTTCTTTCTCTCAGTAACACAGACACATTAAACAGACGCACGTAAATGAATGATTATTTGAACATTAAGTAAACTATAGATGTCGCCGTTGTATTCCACTGAGGTGCGCACAGTTCAGCTAAGATGTTAGACTGGAAAACAACATCAACCACTAGATTATAGGGAAGAAGCAGGAGAGTTAAGTCAAATATATAGATATAAGACCATGAGGAGATGAAGGAAATGCCCAGTTTTTTCTCTCCCTCATCTCAGTGATCAGCAGGACAATAAACATCCACAACCACAAGAAAGCTATGCTGTCAGTTTATTACGTGAGATAATAGATGCAAAACACGTTTTCTTCACGTCAGCCAATACCAGGTATTTTACAGCTGCAGTCGTTTCGCAGCGCAGCTAGACTGACAGTGAATGCAGCAACGCAGGACCAAATCCTTGAGACACTGATCTGTAAACAGTCGATGGCTTTCGACGCTCGAGGAGCTACGCATGCGCGAGTTTAGAGCAGGCAGCACTAACTATTGGATAGTAATAAAGACAGAGCCACAGAGGAGACTTGATATGCAGCAGCTAGTTAGTAACAGGGTTTACCATAGGTTGAATAAGTGTTATCACATCAAGAGGAGGTGCAGACAGAGGGGGGTGGGTTTGTAAAGCACTGTACTCTATTAGGAAAATGATTCTTGGAGAAACACACAGTAGTTTGGTCCCACTGTTAGGGAAGAACAGAAAGAGTCAACACTTTGTGTAATAACACTGTCATTTCAACACTTTGTCAAACATTTTCTGACATTCGTTTTGCCTTTAAATCAAAATGGCTGAACCTGGAAAAAGATGTAGTCAGGATGTGTCACTGTAGTAAAATAAAGCTAATTATTATTATTATTATTATTTCTAATTATTTACTGTGACAGAAGCATCTTGTCCTGTCCTCCTTTTTTTGGCTATATTTATTCTCCCTGACTGAGCGTCACCACCAAGAACCCATTCTATTCTAATGATTTATTTACGGAAGAGAAGATGTTGAGAGACAACCAGATATTTCGAAAGTAAAGAAGACACAAAATGCTGGACTTATTTAAAAAGACAACACTGGCAAAAACACACTGTTCCTGTAGCTGGCACGGAGCAGCAGGTGGCGCAGCAAACACCACGTCTTCTCTCAGGCTTCACTCTTACCTTCCTGCAGTAATGGGAGCAGGTTAGTGCTGGTTCTCACTGATCTGTGGGAACTCCTTATAAATCTGCTGTACAATTAGCTTATCCATCTGTTTGGCTGTAGCGCTGCCTTCGTCTTCCCCTGGATCCTCCTCCTCCCTGAGGATCCTCTGCAGCGTGGACCTCAGGTCCGACAGGCGGTGCTGGTGCTCCAGGTAGTCTGTCGAGCGCATGATGGAGTGCATGAGGGAAAGGTACTCCATTCGCAGCTTCACGGGAGGAAGTGAGGAAAAAAAAGTTATTCGAGTTTTTAAATGTTGACAAACTAACGTAGCCTCTAGAGGCTGTGCGGTGTACTGCACCCTCACCTTGTCCCCGGGTGAAAGGTCAGATATTTGGCGGACAGCGATGTCAATCATCACCATCATGTCAGTGCGGTAGAAGATGTCGGCCGTCTCTCTGCTGGCAAAAAGATCCTGCAGGAACTTGAGGACTGAGTGCGGGGCAGGAGGGGTGTGGTTAAACATACACACAGGGTCGTCTGGAGAGCCAATGAGAAAAGAGAGAAAAGTTAAAAAAAAAAAACTCCAGGAATAAGGATTGTTTATAAAACAAGCTGTGATGTTTTACCCCCTCTGTTCAGAAGCAGGAGAACTTTCTCTGACAGGACTTTCACGTTCTTCTTCTTCAGCTCTTCCATGATGACGTTGTTGCTCGGAGCTGGGTTCCAAAGAGAACAGAGACGTCCACGGCGTTAGAAATATATTCTACATGCTTCCATACAAACATCACAGTCAGACTGAGGAAGAATTATGGTTGGACATCCACATTGTAATTGTTATAGTATATCTCCCTCCAGCAGATGGCGCCCTGGGCGACTACCTTTGTAGCCTTTACGAAGAGCCATTTCCAGTCCTGACCACCAACATTTTAAAAATAAAACCAACTTTATCAGCCACACATTTCACACTCATTATAGATTGTTCAGGAGTCCTGACCACCAATATTTTAAAAATAAAAACAACGTGGCCAACTTCATCAGCCACACGTTTCACACTCATTATAGATTGTTCAGTTTTCCTCACTGGTGTGGTGCAGGTTGAAGGACAGCAGAAGGTTCAGGAAGATGTCAGGCAGCTGCTCTGTGGGGTCAGAGGGATGACCGTCCTCCACCACGTCCAGCAGAAACTGAACAAAGTCAGCATTCAAGTGTTCTGAGAGCAAAGAGATCAGCAATGTTTTATTAAATGTAAATGTTGTCAGTGACGCTTCATTAATATTCATAACTGCAGTTCTCTAAAATAAAAATAAACCTGTCGTACCGTAGTGACGGTATGGCACCTGTTCACCCATGGAGAAGATCATGGTGAGCACCAGTGCAGTGTAACACATCTTCTGGTGCTCTGAAGAAAGAAAGAAAGAAAGGACAGTTATAATAAAACTGTTAGGAAACTGCAGATCAAGTAGGAACATTTTTCAGTTATAATAAAACTGTTAGGAAACTGAAGGAACATTTTTAAAAACATGATTTAACCTTGAATGTCGGTCTGCAGGTCTCGGGCCAACTCCATGGGGAGAATGGAGTTGAGCAGAGTGGAGATGAGGGCAGCGTCCAGACTGCACATCGCTCCGAACACTTTGAGGAGCAGCAGCCGCAGCGACACACGATGCTCCTGCACAGACACACACACGGTTCCCACAGTTAGACAACAGACATTCTACAAAACCTGAATATGACCACAAATATGGTTAATGATATTTTTTTATCATTATTGAGATGCATCATAAAAGATCTTTTGTCCTCAAACCGAACAACTGCACCCCCGTGTGGCCACTGTAATTAATATAGACTTACCATTTGATAATATGAAACCAGAGAGAGGACGCTTTCATGGTGGTTGGTTTTGCACATCTTCTTACACACCTCTGGATCTGCATCAGTCTGAGGGAGGGGAGAAAGTAGGAGTCTTCAGTGCAGATATTAAATCAAATCAAAGCATAATTAACTGACCACTTTAGGCCTTTGTGAGGAAATATCTTTCTTGAAAACTCTACATAAATTAATGTTAATTATTATTTCTACACTCTGGCCTGAACCGTTGCAGGCGTTGAACGGTGAAGACCTTCACTCAATCGTACCAGGATCTTCAGCAGCTCCTCCAGGTAGCAGGCGATGACGGCGTGGTCTTCGTGGAGCGCCCAGCTCCGCTGCTGAGAATCGTCTCGGTGTCGGGCGAGGTCGCTGAAGATTACCTCCAAGCGTTGCTCATCGTGACACACCTGGCCCCGCGGCAGCGCTGAGCCCGAGTCCTGCAGAGATGGAACAGGAGGACACGCCCACATCTTTAAGAACTAGATTTACCAGTGAATAGAACGCTGAGTGCATCGACAGTGTGTGACAACAGGTTGAACTACATCTGTGAAGGTTAAATGTTTACATAGTTCATGCTCATCTGTTAACTAGAAATATTCATTTAACCACAAAAATATTTGATTTCTGAAGAAAAGTCAATTTGCTTTTCATTTAAATGTTTCTAGAAAAAAAGGCCTCAGAAAGATGAAAAAAACAAAAAACCTTGTCATTGTTTCCCATGTTACTGGTGTAAGTAATCCTGATTATTATTATTATTATGGTTAATTAATATTAAGAATTGTTTCTTATACATTAACACCTCATTTACCTCAGCTTCTGTCATTATAAATGACCAGCGTTGTTTCAATAAATCAGTATCTGACATTGCTGAGTCCGACAACATCCTGGAGACGCCTCAACAAATCACGGAGCACTTCATGGTTTAAATTTAGAAAAATCTAAAAACACAGGAACAGGAACAGAAACGTCTGCCAGAAAAAAAAGATCCGCTGAACTCTTATGCTCCAGCAGAGACAACAGAGCAGGAAATTAAAAACAGGAAATGAGGTCAGTGAACTGCATCATGTCGTTAAAAACACAACAGGAGATTAAAGCACGCGGACGGTCGAGCGTCCTTCAAACTGACCTTGCTCTCCACCAGTGAGAGGAGAACCTGCTCCAAGGCGGACGATGCCTGAGGCAGAGCGGTCTGCAGGTGACCCACCACCACGCCCACGGCCACCCGGGACAGTTCGTAACTCAGGCCCGTGTTCTTTCGTACCAGTTCAATCAGTTCAGCCCCAATGGTCGTGGGAACGGGCTCAGAGGAGGTGAGGCTGCCGGGGGGGCTCTCGGCCACCATCAGAGGAGCGGCAGGCCACTCGCTCTCCGACTGACTGTCCTCAGTGGATTTGGGGGTGGGTGTGGGTGTGAGCTGGGGGGGCTGTGGGGCCGGGCTCTTCTTGGCGAAGGCAGTTGGAGGAGGAGGAGACTCGGAGGGTAAAGTGTCTTGAGGGGGCACGGAGCATTTGACGCGGGACGGCACGGGAGGAGGGGGGGTGCTGGACACACTTGGCAAACTGACATCTGAGGAGAGCACGGAGCGGGAGGACCCCGACTCCAAAGACGTGGAGCTGATTGACAGGGAGGGTGCTGGGGACGGAGGAAGGGAGGACGTCCTGGAGGGGACCTCTGGCTCTGCAGCGGGAGAGAGGGTGAGAAAGAGCGAGAGAGCTCCAGTTACACACAGTGGGGAGTGAAGACGAATGACTCGACTAAGAATAGAGTATGTTTACGTAGTAATGTAGCCGCAGCAGGAAGCATCGGCTAAAAGCAGCGGTGAAAACAATCTGCTGTGATGTCTGAGCCTGCGGTATAATCGTCAGTACCGATTGGAACCACAAGTTCCTGCTGTGCTCACTGACCTGCCTGCTGGCCTTTCCTCTGTTTCTCAGGGGGAGGGGGGGTGATGGGAGCTGCACGTCGAGGCTGAGGAGGCACCTGCAGGAGAGGAGCAGAGGAGGTTTGATTAATGCAGGCACCAAAGAGTCAACCCAACCCAGAGCAGAAGTTAGTTTCAAACAGCGCTCAAAACAGCTTTACAAATGTAATGCAACATGAATAAGACACAGAGATGTTATGAAAAACTGAGAAAAAAAACTCTAAACTCATGTACTAATATCCACTGTTTGACTGTTTGTTACCTGGTAAAATCCCGGTTGCTCTCCTTGCATATTATCCATACTTCCTGAAGATGGCATACTTCCCTGTCGCCCGTATTCTCGATTAAGGCCATTGGGTGGAGGAGGAGGAGTGTGACTGAGAGAAATTTCACTGTTGGAAGACGGGATTCCTTGTTTGTGATTGGACAAGGAGGAGGAGGAGGAGGAACTTCGCCGTGTCAGCGTTTCCTTTCTGTGATGGATCAGCTTCCTGTGACACAGGAGAGTGGGTTTTCATGAGCAGAAGACTGAGGAATAGCACTGGTGAAATGACGTGTGCATCGGTCACTCACTGCAGAACGTCTCGCTGCTCCAGGTTGTATTTGCCTCCGTTTTTCAAGGCCACGTTGTGGATGCCTTCGATGGCTCTGTCGATGGACTGTAAAACCTCATCCTGCTCCGTGACCTGACAGCAGGGAAATAACAGAAACAGGTGAAGTTCAAGAGCTGGAGAAAATCAAATATTGAGTGAGAAAACACACACACACACTGCATGTATAATTAATAAAGTGTAAAAAAGGAAACACAACAGAATGTGGCTCCGGGACATGCTGCACAGCTCCAGGCTGCAGGAAACTAGGTCAGTTATCTAAGAGAGACACAAAAACAGCCTTTTTAACCAAATGAGCTCAGTGAGCGCTCAGAGTCACTTCTAAAAGCTCCAGAGTGAGTCAACGTCATCAACAGCAGGAACAGGCATTCTTGTTCCGCCAGCGTCTGAGCCTGGGATTCAACCAGATGCATGCTGCGACTGGTTCAGGGTGAGAGAGGATCCTGGGAAAAAAAACAAGCTCCCTGACTGCGGAGGATACCGAGGAGTGGAGTGGAAGTCGTTTCAGTGTCCGTCCTGGAAACACTTTCTGAGCGTCTTTGTCTCCTCTTTCTGTAAAGGAACGCTTGACCTTTGACCCGTCACGGTCCAGATCACGAGAACTGGAATCAACTTCCTAATTAACAGCGTTAACAAAACGTAGTTTCAATGTTTTGTCCAGTGTCTGTTGATGGTTCTGTGTCACTGTTTCTATGGATCATAGTTTAATAAAAAAAGATCTTAAAGGACGAACGTGACGAAAAACCAGACTGTGATTTTGATGAGTCACAACCAGGGATGTTTAAATTGTTATCGGGTTTTCCTCCGATAATGAAAAGCCGATAACGCAATGTCTGACGCAAACATTATAAATGCAGCTACCAAGCACAATTAAAAAGCCGTACTCAGCTTTACTCCCTAACCAAATCAATACGATTGGTTTTAGTACTGACTTGATACCAGGCCAACAGTGACTGTAAAAAGTAAATTATTATTATTATTGTTGTTATTATTGTTGTTGTTGTTATTATCAGGTTAATAATAATAGTAAATAATAAGGATAATACTACTAATATTAGTAATAATAATAAAAATTATTATTACTATTATTATAACAATAATAATCATTTATACCAAGAGTGTTATCTAACAAATAAGTGATGACGAGCTTTTGATGGAGGCATCATTTTGATGGTGCCATCTCTGCTGTGCTGCGTGTCTCCTGCATCAGCTGACTCACTCACACACACACACACTACACACACTCTGTACACACGACACAAATGCAAACCTTGCAATTATATATATGTGACGCTGGCAAATATGCAACAACCAGGCGGCAGCTCCAACCCTGGCCTGCACTGCAGCATTCGCAGCGCAGTGTACACTTTCTGTGGGATCCCAGAGAGAGTCCTCACTGTTGGCCGTGCACTCACAGGATTTCACAACCACAAAAAAAACAAAAACAACGAGCGGTTTCAAAGTTGGTAGTTAATGTTTACCTGGATCTTTTCGATGTAGGAAGCGGGGATGTAGCCGGTTTCTCCTGAGCTGCAACGGGAGCCCAGCCACCAGTGTTTGTTGCTCCTCTCCAGGATTAAGAAGCTTTCTCCGGCCGCGAAGTGCATCGAGTTGGGCTCCGCAGATCGGAAGGCGTAGAGAGACCGGTACATGCTCGTGTTATATGTTTAAAAAGCCAAAATGAACCACGGCAGCCGGAGGAAGGCGGTGTGTGGAGGTTAGGAGAATCCGATTGTGTGATCTTCTCTGTCCGGCTGATTTTTAAAAGACTATAAAGGCATGGCCAGAGCGGATCACTGCTGTCTATTTACAATGTAGCTCGGTCATCTGACCTGTCGAAGGTGCCAGTGAACGCCACATGAGGGCGCCGTCACACCCTGAACACGCCCCCCAAGACATTTTAATCAATGAAGAGCTAAAAACTGTCGCCATCACTGCGTAACACCGAGAAATAATTCTTAAACAAACAAAAAATCTATAGTAAGTAAAATACAGATGTTAAAATACTTAAGTCAAAGAATAAAATCATTGTTTTACATATTTATCTTTGAAAATTACAATAATATTCTGAAAACGACTAAAAAGTAATACTTATATACTTCTTGTTTTTATCTAAAAAGGTTTTAATTAGTGTGACTGTTATTATTGTAAATATAATTCTGCTTTTAGCAAAACACGCAATATACTAGCTAATGAGAATTATACGTAAATTAAAAGTGTAGAGTGATCGATTTTTCTTGTGCAACTACAGCAACCGGAAGCGGATGGTTAGTGTCACGGTGAATTCTACCCCCCTTGTATCGCCCAGTCAGTCCTACAAGCATGTCCAGCTCCGTGTGTAGCAGATTCCTTCAAACTGCAAGACATGGACTTGTTCGTTCATCCAGAGCAACACCAGTATTCTCGAGGTGAAGCTCGTGTTTTATCTTTTTTATTCGGGTGTTGTTATTTTTTGTGTAAGAAAATGGTTAAATAACTCTCGGTTTTTGTCGTCCTCCCCTAAGAGTCGTTCTGATAGAAAATTACTGTTGTTTTTGTTCCGCTTACGAAGATGATTCGTCACAGTTTTATACATTTTTTAAAAATATTTATTTATTTATTTATGAGACATTCTGTTTTCGTGACAAGGTTCACGAGAACTGTGATGCTGTGTTTCGAACATTCTGTTTTCGTGACAAGGTTCACGTGATAGAGAACTGTGATGCTGTGTTTCGGTCGAACAGACTCTTATTTTGAAAGTGCGTTCACCAGTGACCTTAGGCTAAGTCTTGTTTTCATTTTCAGTATTTTATAGAAAAAAATATTGATTAATATATGATTTAAGTTGTGATTAATTCAAACAAACAACAAAGGTGTTATGGGTAACAACGGTAATATTCTGGTCTTACTGATATAAATGATACTACGTTCACCTTTGGTTTCCTGTCCCTGTGTTTCAGTCCATTTCTGTCTCGAGCTCATCGACTGGGACCAACTGATGATGAACGGTACCAGCGAACCACAGCCACCATCATGCAGAAGGACGCGGCCAGTGGCTTCATTATCCACGGCTACAATGAAAGAGGATTTAACATCAATGGTAATCAGGTGATCGGTCCCTGCGCTGTGCTGCCCCCTGCCATCCTGCAGTGGAAAGTGAGGATATTTTCAAAACTACTAATTTAAAAACTTCAGTTTGTTCAAATAATACATTTGTTTTAATCATTTCTAAACAACTTGTTCATTTTTTGGGGGTTGAATCTTTTCTCCAGGTTGGCACACATCTAAACATCACAGAGGAAAGTATTGCTTTGTTTCACATGCTGGAACCAGGACTAGGTAAAAAAAATAGAATCTATCAAAAAATATAAAGCATTGTTTTAGTCTTATATTCATCCTGGGTTATATAAGATATAAGGAATAAAAAACTGAAAATACTGAGTTCATGATCTGACCTGTATCCTGTTATTTGTGCAGAAATTCTTGTGCTGGGAACAGGTTCAAAAATTGAACAAATAAATCCCTTAGTTCTGGCTCTGCTCAGGAGGAAACGCATCGCTGTGGAGGTGCAGGACACGGTAACGTATTTCCGGTTCATACACTTATCCCTGAAAGATAAAAGACGAGACATTTTTACAATTTATATATATATTTTTTTATGTTTTGTTTTTAGCCAAATGCATGCGCAACCTTCAACTTCCTGGTTGATGAAAATCGTCTGGTTGCTGCTGGTCTGATCCCTCCGCCTGCCAGCACCGCCCTGACGACACCGTCCGACGAGTCGTAGGTCCTGGATCGTTCTGCTGGATGTTTTTCAACCCTGAACAAAAATCCACAGATCTCAGAGGATGTTGTGAGTGTGAAAGCCCAGTACCAGTGGTTCTGGTACTGGGAGAGCGTCTCAGAACCACTGACATCACAAGGCTTTGAGCTCGTTGGACTCTTTGTCTCTGAATCATTGATTTGTCTTGTCTGTCTAAATATGATTCTTCTCTTTGTAGATATACAATATATATATATTTAAAAAGCTTTACATCCATCCAACCCCAAAACCAAGGTTTAAAACAATTAGAAATGTACAAAAGATACATTTCGGTGTAGTTTTGTAAAATTATCAAATGTGAATAAAGTCAATAAAAACACAGTGATTTGTCTGTTCACAGTGGGTGAAATAAAATAAAAACAGAACTTTATCTAAATATAAAATATTTGTGTATTTGATGCTGATCTATGCAGTAAAGTCCTGACAAACTAATTGACGTTACAGCGCAAAAACAAATAATCAGAAAAGGTTGTTTTTTCTTTAGTCACCTTGAAATAAAAAAATAAAAAAATGTCCTTAAGCTACTGAAAAATTTAAATTCGTACATAATTAACAAAAAGGATATGAATATGTGGTCAATTTAAAAATAAAGAACAAAATAATACTAAAAATGTAATAGAATGTTGTTTATTAAAAGGCTTTTTAAAAGGTAAAAAAAAAATGAATTCTAAATAACACAAATCACCAGGTTCTACATGAGGCTACGTGCTACATGCTACATGATCCTGACCAAATCACCAGGTTCTACATGAGGCTACATGCTACATGCTACATGATGATATGGACGCCTGTCGTCAGTCTTCATCAGAGTTGTGTGACTGGTGTCTCTTTGAGCCTCTGAAGCACAGCTCGGAGCCGGTGACCCGACGGTACAGGTCCATGACGTCCTCGCATTCTTGTTCAAAGTGGTTCGTTTCGTCATACGAGCGCGACACAAACACCTGGTTGAACACATGATGACGTTGTGTTACCTGCACTTCATTCACCACACTCCTCCTCTGACTCATTCATCATCAGTTCACCTGACTCTTTTTTCCATCGTCATTGGGAACCAGCAGGTTGCTAACGGACACAAATCTAGATACGAAGTGGCAACAGAGGAAATATGATTAAACCAACTATAATAAAACGATCGTGACAATAAACAGGACAGACAGTTACTGACTTTTGCATGATGGGTTCTAGGAGGTCCAGCCCAGGCTGCACCTCCTTCTCTGGGTCTCTGGTTTCTGCCCTGGTGCTCACCGTGGCGACGTACATCCCATCAGAGGCCACATTATGATGATAGGACACCACAGATATGTAGATGTCTGCAGCGGAGGACAGTAGAGCAGTAGAGCTGGTGAGATCATTCTAGAATCTTTAACTAATGTCAAAGAACATGTTAAGATTTGAACTTCCATCCATCAGGGTCAATGGAGGAGCTGGAGCCAGCCATTCCAGTAGTCACCAGGAGAGGGCGGGGTTTGACCCTCCACCGCTCACCAGTCCATTACAGCAGTGGTCCTCAACGTTTATCAACCGTTACTGCGGCCCGGTAATACCGCTGCATCGTTGAAGTATCATTTTTTTATCATTCACTTTTCAAAATAAAACATCTTCTAGACTTTATCCTGTTAGTATCAGAGCCTGAATGACCTTTGACCTGTTGGTTTGAAACATTGATCCTGCATGTTTTTAACTAACCTACATATAGAAAGTTACCATAGTTACCAGTAGGTAATCAGACTACTGATCAACTTGTTGAGAGGCAAGTAATAAGTAACCACTCCCCCACCATGTGGCCCAGCATCAAGATTGTGATATAATGACCTGACTTCCTGTTGAGTTGAGCTTGTGGGATGATGATCTGACAGGAGTGTGCCTCCTGGGTGTTCTTAACCGGGTGATTTAACAAACAGATGACCCTGACGACTCGGCCCATGTTCCTGACTCGAGTGGGAACGTAGCTGGGATCACAGATCAGCTGTTTACAGCGGAACAGCTGTTAAAGAGAGACACGTTAAGTGTGTGTGAATCTCCAGCAGGATATTTTTTTTATGTCTGTGTTTTTCACTTGGCCACTTTACCTTTCCATCAGATTTTACAGCCTTCACTTTTCCGTTGTCCATCACTATGTCCTCCACGCTTCTGTTTAACCTGAAGGTCCCTCCATACTCCGCACTCAGTCTGGAACAAACAGAGATTAAAGATAGATCATCAGAATTGCATTTTCTGTTTTTTTTCCAGACTTCTCATTTTGTGACTTAATTATAATAGATTTAATTTTCTAAATTTGCCCCAACAATTAAGCAATTAACTGAAAATCCCTGATAATGAATGATGTTACTGATTGTCCTTCACAGAGCTCTGCCTCATGCCATCGCTAACAAACACCACACAGCATGAAGGTCAAAAAGAATTGAGCTGAGACTCGATTGAGCTGAGACTCTGCAGGAGTTTTTTAAAATATTGTGTGAGTACAACCTGGCAAATCCCTGTGGAAGTTCTCCCAGCCCGTACACTGGATACAGGTATGGACTGGAGTTGTGTCTGGACAAAGACTCCGAGTACAACCTGACCCGTCTGATGGTTTCCACACAGGGTTGGTCCAGGTAACTGGAAAGGGTCAAAAGGTCACAGCTTCAGCTCCAGCGGTCATCATTCATCATAACGGCCTCGCTCACTGACCTGTCGCTGCCGTGTAGAGCGATAGAGTGACCGATCAACTCCATGACGTCTAACCCCAGGTCAAAGCGACAGAACAGGTCCCGGGCGGTCGTTTTGATTGGATCCACATCCTGGTAGGTGCGGGGGTTTCTCTCGTCAAAATTCTGGGCGAAGACCAGCAGCTTCCTGAACCTTCTCTTGTCAAACATACCCATCAGGTCTGAAATATATTTTTTTGAAGGATTATTTAAAGAAGTTCTCAGATTTTCAATGATATTATTTTGTCCACAAAGGCTGTAAACAGTTAAAAATAATTTAAGTTAAAAAAGGATTAAGGTAAATAAAATTGAAAAGCAAATTTTAATATTCAGTTTATGGAGTTTTTGGTCAAATAATGACTTCATAAAAACATGTCTAAGGAAACACATCACCTGTAGCTTGGACTTCTTCCTCGGCTGCAGGGACTTTGTGCATTTTCCCTGCCTTGTAGACAAAACTGCCTTCAATGACTTTAAAGTCCAGGTAACGAGTGACCTCCGTGTGCAACAAGATCTTCACCACTTGACCTGAGACAAGAGGAAGTCATTCACTGTGAAACTGCTAGAACAGCGAGCAGCGGCCCAGACACACTTCAGATAATAAAGCCGAGTCCTCACTG